TTAGCCCTCGTTCCCCACCTCTGCAGCCTAGGTCATGCTAAACTGAGGTTTCATGGCATTCTCATATGTGCCTCTCAGTGGGCTGAGCAACTTTGCCCATGAGGGCCTGGCTGCTCAGCTTTCAGCTTTGGCAATGCCCACTGTCCCCAAATCCCCTCCTGTCACCCAGAGGGATTAGTGAGATGAAAAGTCAGTTGAGATATTCCATCCCCAGATATAGAGGAGACAGTTTCTGAGAGCTATGAGGCCTTTGCCTTTTTTTTTCCTTCACAGAAAACAAGGACATCTTGAACATCTCATTTTCCTTCCTTCCCCAGGAAACCCACTAAGCCAGAGTTCAGGTTGCCAAAGATCAAGTTCACTTACCTTTCACTCCCATCAACTTCTTGTCCAGGGAAAGGAAGGGGCGATGGGCTTAATAGGCCAGGGAGTTCCAGGGGTCCCTGTGCTAGGGCTGGAGCAATGCTTAGGGCCAGGGTTGGTTCAGGGTCAGCAGCAGCAGTGGGAACAGAAGGATCCATTCTTAGGGTGTCAAGACCAGGCAGGCTGTGAGGGCTCCTATTTCTCAGAACCTGCTACACTCTTGGCCTTTCCTGGGAGACCCTTTATAAGACCTGCCTGGACTCATAAATTATTCAGAGAAGTACAGATGTGGGGGACTTGAGGCGGGTGAAGATTTAAGAAAGGCACTCAAGGAGGGAGAACTGGGTTCCTTGGTGTGAAATCTCTCCCAGTTGAATAAACAGAGAGTCAGTGGGGGATGAGAGGTTATCTTTACCTCCAAGTCAGAAAGGAAAACACAGAAGGGGCAAATCACACACCATTTGTGAGAATACCTCAGGCAGTAGCAAAGCAGGAGGGGGGAAAGGTGGGAAGCTCATTAGTACCTGAAACCACAGAAAGTTGTCAGGCACAGAGATCTGGACAGACAGGCCGTTGGCACAGCTTGTTCCAAAAAAGAAGGACAGTTAACTTGGCTAAGGAGAGTGAGGAAGTCGCCCGTTATTTCAGCTCAAACCCCAAATATATTTGCCAGGGGCACCTGATATAGGGTGACTGCCATTAAGCATACAACCTGGGTTAGGAAAAAAAGAGTTTCTGGGTGAAGCAGGTATAGTTGCCTATGGGCTAAACTTCAAGTCTTCTTTCCACGCCCTCCCCTTTACTGGTCAATTCTTTTGCAAAAGTGCCAGAATCCCCTTTCCAGCCTTAGCAGTAAGTGATTCTGTAAATGAATGCAGGCAGTATTGTCAGGGTTTCCAGGTCAGATTCCAAATCTTAAAGCTCAGCTTCTAGTCCAGGAGCCAGGGTGCTCGGGGAGGCAGAGTTTTCCCAGCTGCTAAGCTGCTGAAGGACTATCGCTGGCTCCACGGCTTTCACTTTCTTCACATGTGAGAGGAGGGTGTGAGCCCAGTGGTCCCAAAAGGCCCTGCAGCCTGAACACTCTGTGACGGGGGGCTGGGTAAATGGGTACTGACCCTGGGCAAGCGCAGAGGCTTGAGCACAGTCGTCCTTGGCCTTAGCCAGTCTTCTGGACTTTAGACAAAAAGCTTCGAGCTACAACTACTGGCAAGCTCCTTATGCTTTAGAAGTCCTGAAAATATCCTTCCTGACCTCAGTGTCCAGCACCAGCACAAATTTAGCTTCTTGGATATTCATTACAGTAGGGTTTATAATGGGAAAAATTAGAAACAACCTGAAATGTCCAATCACAGGAAACTGGTTATATTAATTAGGATAAATCCTTGCCGTGGAATACTAAGTAGACATTCACAACCATGTTTTAGGAAGTATAATTATCCACAAAGTGGAAAAAAAGTCATATGCTAAAATTGGATGAATAATTTGGTTAGAGGGCTCTTCTTTTCTCCATTCACCTACCCCCCCCCACCTCACTTCAAATTACAGCCCCACTGTGTTCTTTACAGCAAAGGAAAATTGGAAACAAACTAAATGTCTCTCATATTAGAAAGTTGGTTAAATAAATCATTGAACAGTTATACAATTTTGTATTAAAATTGGCTTGGTAGGAGACTGGGGAAAAGTTAATGAATTGAAGAAAGGAAAAAAGAAGCCTCTACAGTATAACTTAGAGGAAGATCTCATTTTGGTAAGAAAAAAGTATAGAATATACAGTGTGCAGGAAAAAACACTGGTTAAAAGAAAGGAGAATGTAACAGTGGTTGGTTCTGGGAGTAAGATTATGGTAGATCTTTACTTCCTTCTTTATGCTTTTCTGAATTTTCTGAAAAGTTCCACAAGACCTAATATTATTTGGGCCATAATAAGTAATGACATAAAAAGAAAAAGAAAAATGCTTATCCACAGAGGAAAGAAAACTCTTGGGGAAATGGCAGCCATTTTCAAATATCTGAGGATTAGACTGCAGTGGGATTATACTTGTTCTGTGTGACTTCAAAGGACAGGGCAGAGGCCCAGGGGTGGAAGCTACAGGGAGAGACATTTTGGCTCAATCAAAGGAAAACTTTCTAACAGCCCAGTCACCACCTAACTCAAGGGCTTGGCACTGTGCCGGCCCTTAATAAACAGAGGTTTATTATATGTGGTGAAATGGGATAAGCTCTCTGTCCCTAAACTGTGTAAGTGTAGACCTGATACCAGATCTGGAGAGGAAAATCTTTGGGGAGAAAATGAGGGCTAGTGGGAATCCCAAATTTCTATCATTCTTTGAGGGTTCTTGCTAAATTTACCTCCAGAAGATGAGAATTTGCTTAAACTGCATCATTGACTCAAATGAGGAGGGAGGCTGAGAGGCAAAGCCAGGTTGAAGAGATTGGGCTGGAAGGAGATGACAAGTGAGGGAGTAAGAAACAAACTTCCTGTCATACCCTCAGAACTTCCTGATCTCTGGATGGCCATGGTCTCTGCAAACAGGCAAGTGGGAAGAGGGAACAGGGAAAGGGGTTAACATTACTCCTGATCCCAGGGCTCATTCTCAGCCAGACTTAGCCATGCCACCTACCACCTAGAACTTGTGTTCGTTCAGCCATAATCCTTCATGATTGGAATTGTCCAGGCTCTACTCTCCTGAGTAGCAGGCCTCAGGGTTCCCCTCAAACCAGCTCCCAACATGCTTTCCTGGAGTCCAGATTGCCTTCAGGCCTGTCTCCAGGGCTCTTTGTTCTCCCTCCACAACTGCTCTGTCTTGTTACTTTCTAAGAATTGCCTCAGCCACATTTAACTTGTGGGAGATGAAGCCAATGGCCTTTCTTTTTGGCTTCTCCCCAGCCTAAAGGATTTAAGGCCTGCATATGTTGCTGGACAAAAGTGGGAGCTTGGCTGTTCTCCTTTGCACTCAGCACAGAACAGGAGGAAGGTGGCCAGCAGGGTGACAGGAAAGGTCTGTAACAACCAAAGTGAAGAACTTCCTGTCAGGGCAATTATGATCCTACCTCTGTTTCCCCTAACAGGGTTTCATCAGTGATTGCTTTGCCAAATCCTTCTGAGAGGGCTGGGTGCCTCCTCTGGGCCAGATGCTGTTGGACATTGCCTGGTGGGGGAATGGACTAGAAAGAGGAAAGTGCTTTAGACACTGCCTCAAGGGGATTACAGCCCAGGGAGGGAGACAAGACCCACACAAGGAAAAACAGACTCAATCAACCTCCACTGGGCCCCAATACCCCTCAGTCACTTGAACATGTTCTTTTGTCAAGTCCGCAGCTCCAGCAGTCACATTTCCCTGGGCCACATTACAAACTTTCTCCAGCTCCCAACCAGGTTTCTGCCCCTCCCCTCTCCCTGCATGGAACAACCTCTCCTCCCACTTCCTTGAGAAAACAGAGGCCTTCAAGCATGAATTACCTCAGTGCTCTGCCCCACCCCCCCAAAATTGGCCTGCCTTTCCAACTTCCTTCCCCTCCAGGGGACAAGGTGCTCCTCTCATTAAAGGCTAATCCCTTCCCCTTTGGCCTTGCCTTATCCACCCTCTTTCTCTGGGCTCTTCCTTCAGACATGGCCCTTCTCTTCAGAAAAATTCAGCTTCTTTGTACTAGCTCTTTCTCTTCTCATTATAAAATGCCTGTTTCTCTTATCTCCCAGAGCAAGCCCCCTCCCTCCTTGAATGTGTTCTCTTTCTCTCTCTGAATCTCTTTCTTCCCTCCCTCTCTCTCCTTCTCTCTATCTTTTCTTTCCTTTACCTTCAAATTTGTTGAAAGTAGAATCTAAATTCTAAACTGCCACTTTTCCCAACTTCCCATTCGCAGTTTAACCGACTGCAATTTGGCCCAACCCCATCCTTCTAGTGAAAGGGCACTACCAAAGGTCACCAATGATCTCCTAATTGCCAAATTCAGTGATCTCTTTGAACTCTGGGTGGCAAAAGACACTGTTGGCCAAGTCCTGATTTCTGAAATTCTTCTCTTGGCCTCCATGATCATGCTCTCCTGGTTTTCCTCCTACTTCTAGAACCATTCCTCTCAATCTCTTTTGCTGACCTCTCTTCCTCTGCCCATTTCTCAAATCTGTGGTTCTCAATTATAGTTAACAAATCAGGATGATACACAGTGATGTTTTCAATAGGTCACAGCAAAACGGGAAAAACATCAAATGTAGAGTTTTTCAATAATCTAAATGTATGCAATTATAAAAGACTGGACTTCATTCTAAGATTATGTCCTCCCTATTTTTTTGGTGGAAAAATATTTTCTTTTTTGAAAGAATGGCAATGATGGATGTTACTTTATTTCTATTTCTTTAATGTCAAAATAAAATGTTAGTTTCTCTATGTCTGTCTCATTGACATGTATTGTATGAAAGATTGAGAATTATGTTTCGAGCCTGAAATTCTCCCAATACATATATGAAACTCACTCCAAAATGGAACTATATTTCTCCCCCCACAAACCTCCTCTGTACCTGCCTTGGTAACCAGCATATTGGCCAAGTCATTCGAGCTAAAAACCTCAGACACTAAGCCCTAATGGTTGTAGTCTTCACCATTTCTCACATCTGTCAACTTTGTGCTCCCCACTCTCCCAGTTGTTTCTTCAATTATGGCCTCATCTGTCCTCTCTCACCTGGATGCCTGAACTAGCTCCCAGATATGTTGCCCTGTTCTTGACTTGGCCTTACCAATCCATCCTCACAGCCACCACAGATCTTTCTAAAAACTAAGTAAGGTCAACGTGTACAGTACTTAAAATTTTCCAGTGAGTCCTATAGAAAATGTCCAAACTCCTTTGTGTGACAATTGTAGCCTTTTGCTGCCTAAGCACAGCTTGCCTCTCCAGTTTTTTGCCTCCACATACCTTCCGCTGCAGCCCCCCTTGACTTGACCTGCACTCTGCAAAAAGGCCATGGCCTTTCACCTGTAATCTTTTCATGATTTAAGGCCTCTGAAGGTCTTAAGCCCACCCTGTACAGGGGCTTATCACAGAGAACAGTGCAGGTCATAACTAATGGCAAGGCTTAAAGTCAATTTAGTGGGTTGCAACCAGCATTTAACAAAATGAATAAACAGCAAATAGAAGAGTGAATCACATGCAGTAAGGACATATATTGT